ATATAAATAGAAGTGTCATGTGCAGCTTTTAGGAAATGTTCCTAAAAATTGAGGCTGAGAACTTTCACAGATTTTTCTCCATCCTCCTGCTGACTTGTGGACCTCACGGCACTTAGGAAGTCATCTCGAACCATAGGGTGAAAACCTCATGTTGAAGATGGTAGAACAATAAAATATAAGGAGTCTGGGTCTCTAATAATCACAGAGTTACAAGACAAGCTCTGAAATGTTTATCTCTAGAGTTCATTTATATCTGAGAGCAATACTTTTGAAGCTGCTGTTATTTGAGCATCTTTATCTCTTGTAGCTGAAACTAGTCTTTTCTAACACCATGCCTAAACTGGGAGGATTGTTGAATGAGTAATCCCCCCAAGTATGAGGGAACAAGACTCTTATTTCGGCTGAAATTTAAGTCTTTGGTTTTCTATCTCTGGATCAACTCAACTCACACATAGAAAATTATCACTTTCATAAATAAAAAGATTTGAGTTCACTTTCAGTTTTTTTGTTTGCTTTCCATTTAATCTAGTTGAAACTGCCTTTGTATGACTTTTTGACAATAGCATCACTTCCCTAATACCCATTTCAAGTGAAAAATCACTGAAATGTGACATGCGGTTTCAGAGAAAAAGAGAGAAAAAAGAGCAGCATTTTCTTCTATGAAAGGATAACAAAGTGCTGATTCCAAGCACTTTCCCTACCCATTCTGTCCTTTCCCTGGATTCCTCCACCCACCTTATTTCCCAAGTCCCTTCACAGGGATGATGAATGGAGGACACTGGCATTTTAACTGCTACCAAGTTGTCAACATTTCCAAGACTATCTCATCTGGCTCATGTATGAAGCTTCTTCCTGGTGCTAAGACAGCCACGGCAGGGCCCCCTGATGCCCATAACCTTTGCTGATTGCCGTATGATAGATAGCACATCAAGCATCAGGTATGATAAACTTTTGCTATGCAAACACCCAAATACTCGTGCTCAACTTAAAAAATGGGAATAGGGATGCCTGTCTATATAATTTCTGATTTGGCAAAGAAGGTAGGATGTCAAGGGAGCATTGTCAGTAGCAAAAGCAATGGGTATGCTTTGTGTTTTCTGAAAAATGTATCTTTCAGCCAATTGAAAAGTCAAAAGAAAGATTAAATCACTAGTTGCCTTTATTATTAAAATAATTCATTAAATTTGTTTTGTTTTAGGAGTCAAGTTCTCTGTAAACCTTTTTATTCCTGTTAAGATTGTTTTCCTTTGTGCTTACCCTGCCCTCCATGTCTTAAATGTCCTCCCTGTTCTTCTCTAATACAGCATATTCTCTACTTCCCTTGAGATTTTGTCATAAGGCCTTGCTTTCTGCAATAAAAAAGTTAAAAATCAACGAACCACCCCCAAGGTAGGGTACCTGGTGGCTACCCGTGATAGGTATAGACAGATTAAAGAGAAAATCAGGATGGTGATTATGATGAGCAGAGGGGGCTTCTTTTGAAGCATGGAATTCTAGTCCCAGATAATTGCTACTCAGAATGATACATAGGCTCCCACACTTTATAATTTATTTGTAAAGGTAAGTCATTGACTTCTTTGTAAATATGAGTGAGTGATCCATCAGAAATTACTCCAAGCAGCCTTGGATATTTTGAGAGAAAAACCAAGCCACATCATTTCATGTCTACTCTGTGGTGAACACAATCACTGGGTATGGGATCATGATTAAGACAGAACCCCTGTCTTAGAAGACTCCTATTCTGGTGGGGAATACAGACATAGGGTTATTCCAGAAACTTGGTTTGTAAAAAGGAAACAACTTGAGAGTAGGAAAATTAAAGGAAAGATGCATTTTAAAATTTCAAGATTTCATATATGCCAAAGAACTCAATAAGAGCACTTCTCAGTATTTATCCAAGAGAAATTAAAACTTGTGTTCATACATTCACATTCATGTTCATTGCAGCATTATTTATAATAGCCAAAAGATGTGAACAACCAGATGTCCTTCAGTGTGTGAATAAACAAACTGATACATTCATATAATGGGATACTACACAGCAACAAAAAGGAATAATAGACGTGCAAGAACTTGGATAGATCTCAGGAACATTATGCTGAGTGAAAAAAGCAATCTCAAAAGATTTCATACCTTATAATTCTATTTACATAATAGTACATATAGTACATATAGTACCCATATAGTACAACTATAGGGATGGAGAACAAGTCAGTGGTTGCTAGGTTAGAGTTGGGGGGAGGGTCTGACTATCAAGGGGTAGCATGAGGGAGTTTCTTTGTGGTGATGGAACAGTTTTATGTCCTGATTGTGGTGGAGGTTACATGATTCAGTGCATCTATATGTGAGATAAAATGTCATAATATTATAAGTAAATACAAAATGAGTGTAGATAGAAATGAATCAGGTTTGTAGTTAACAATATTGTACCAATGTCAGTTTTCTGATTTTGATAATGTATTGTAGTTATGTAAGATGCTACCTTTGGGAAGGTACAGCCTGGTGAGGGTATGAGGAAATTCTGTACTATTTTGCAACTTCTTGTGAGTCTTAAATTATTTCAAAACAAAAAATTTAAAAATTAAAAAAATTCCATTTATGATTTATGAGTCATGGGGCAGACATTCAGCCAACTGTCTTGGAGTACTGGGACTAGGGAATAGGAAACCATCTTGAGGAATACTCTTTCTCTTACTGTTGCTTCCCTTGGTCATGACTACTTCATTCTATCTTCAAAATGGGCTTTTTTTTTTTTCTTTTTCCTTTTCTTTTACTTCTCCAACCCATGTGACACAAAGTGGGCAATTTGCAGTGTCTTAGGTTTTTAAATCCTCTCCATTCACCAGACCAGACCAAGATAAAACTGGAATTTCCTGATCTACCTCTCTGAGTAATACACTTGATTTCACAGTGCCTGCTCACTTCCCATGACTTCCTCTAGCAATTTTACTTTGGACTATCTGAGCTCTCTAAGAGAGAGTTCAAACCCTTCAATTCCCTAACATCGTTCATTTTGGCTTCTGTTTGTTCTACATAAGTGGATACATATTGAGCTTGAGTTTTTTACATGAGGTTTTATCATCAAAAGTAAAAATAGATCTTTATCTTTACATTTGCAAATGACCCGGTCAAAAGACTTTTTTTTTCTTGATCCTCTGACATTTTTGCCTTCCAGATAACCAAAAGGCAAAATGATGGCTCAAATAACCTCAAAAGCCTGTCTCCCACCCCACCCCCGCCCTGCTATATTTATAAAGTCTCCCTTGTGTGCAGGGCTCTGTCCTGGGGAAAGAAGCAAGTACAAATATGGGCAATGTACAACCCGATGAGTAAGGTGGAGACATGCAAACAGGCTATTATCATACAGGGTAGATAGTGAGGTGCTGTGAGAAAGGCACAACAGATTATGGACTTCAGGAGAAGTTTTTTGGGGGAAGGATTCTTGTGACCAGGGAAAAGAGAAGAATACATTTGAAATTGAGCTTGAAGAATCAGTGGAAAGTGAATACATTACAAAAAAGGGAAAAGAACTCCCTATAAAAATCCCGTATGGTAAACAGTGGAAGCTCAAAAACTTTGTTCAATGAGTAGATGCCTACTACATTAATGACAGCATAAAGCACCCAGTTTCTGGGTGAAGGGGCTGAAAGGCCATGAGAGGAGTTATGTGGGGGCTTTGGGGGGTAGATAGGAAGGAGTACAATGAGAAGTATTATTGTGGTGTGGGTTTTTTTTTTTTTTAATTATTTTGTTGCAACAGTTTCTCTATACTATTAATAACAAAGTAGAAAAACAGATTTCACTTACTTTGTTAGGCTGATCCTTAATGGAAATTTCTATTGCCAAATGCTTTAGTGTCTAAAACATCATGGATTTTCAATCTAAAAGCCATGGCCCGTCTCACTTCTTATCACACTGAGTCTTAACCCACAGGGGATTTTTCTATTACTTAAGCCAGTGGCAGAGGGAGAAAGCTCAGGTCATCTGAAGAATTGATACCACGGAGAGAATGACTGAGAGCATTTGTCCTTTGTTGGTCTATTAGATACATCCCGGTTTTGTTTTTATTTGTGTGCTTCTTCTAACACACAAATTGCTCCAGGTCTTGTAATGTGTATCTTTAACTTACCTCGGTCTACTTTAATAACATAATGCTACTTCACAGAGAACACAGGGGCCCCTCACAACAGTCTATCTCCACCCCCTACTCCCCATTACTTGTACAAGTGTTGTGAAGCATTTTAGTACTACATTTATAAAACCTACCTTTTGTTTTCATTTTGGCTTTAAAAAATCAATAACTTTTAAATAAAGTTGAACATGAGATTAAAAAGCCTTACGCATTTGCCACATATTTGTCATTCTGGTACCTTTTATTCCTGTTTTTAGATCCAAGTTCCCATCTGGAATCATTTTCCTTGAGCCTGAAAAACTTCCTTCTCATCTTTTAACATCCAGGACAACTGGCAACAAACTTCTCTCAGCTTTTATTTGTCTGAATATGTCTTTATTATGCCTTCATGTTTAAAGATATTTTCGCTAGATTTTGAATGCTAATTTGGTGAATAATTTTCCACCACTTTTAAGGTGGTTTTTCATTTTCTCTTGGTTTATCCTATTTCTTCTGAGATGTCTGTAGTAGTTTTCTTCATTCCTCTGTATGTGCCATGTCTTTCTTCCTCTGACAGGTGTAAAATTTCATTATCATGGTTTTCAGGAATGTATTTATGACGTGTCTTGGTCTGGTTGGGTGTGTACATGTATGTGTGTATGTGCATGTGTTTGTGTGTTTATGTCAGTATATCCTCCTTAGGGTCCCGTGAATGCCATATATCTGTAGATTTAGTTTTCATTGCATTTAGAAAATTTTGGGGTGTTATTTCTTTACCCTATCCTTCTGGGATTCCATATATACATATGCTAGACCACTTGGCATTATCTTATTGGTCACCAAAGCTGTATTCATTGATTCATTGCTTAATCTTTCCTCTGTTTTTCAGGTTGTATTGTTTCAATTACAGTGTCTTCAAGTTCATTGATCTTTATTTGTACATTAATCTAATTGGCCGTTATTCCCATCCACTGAATTTTTTACTTCAGGTATTTTATTTTTCATGGTTAAAATTTCCACTTGGAACCTTCTGATATCTTTCCTTTGCCTTCAAATTATATTCATATTCTTTGTTTAACTCTTAAACATAGTGAACATATTCATAAAAGTAGTTTTAAAGACTTTTTCTGATAATTTTTTATTTCTGTCATATCTTTGGTCTATTTCTATTGACTGATTTTTCACCTGATTCTTGGTCAAATTGTCCTTTATTTTTCATGGTTAGTAATTTTTTGTTTGTACGTTAGACACTATAAAGTTTATATTATTCAGGCTCCTACTTTTTTAGGCTCTTACTATTGGCTCTTACTTCTTACAAAGAGTGTTAAAAATGTTTTGGCAGGCTTTAAAGTTACTTAAAGATTAATTCCACCATTTAAAGCATTATTATTAATAGTCTACTGTGTTTTTTTTTTTATAGGCCAAGCTTTACCCTACTACTGAATGCCCCACTCTGGCTGATTGGAATTCATTTGAACTCTGGATATTGTTCTCCCTGAGAATTCTTTGTCTGGTTTATAGATTTTCACTTTATGCATGTGTAGCTAAGTATTCAATAGCAGGTTCCAAGGTCCCTGGTGCAGATTTCTGAAGCTTTGTCACAATGTAGTTCTCTTCCCTCTTGTACCCATCCACAATTCTAGCTACCCAGTGTTCTGACCTCCATCTCTACAATGCAATAAAAACACCAAGATCTGTCTGTTTGGGCTCCTTTGCTCTCCATCAAACTCCAGGAGGTGATTCTAAGCAGAAAAGCTGATTTGGTTTCCTTCTCTCAGGAATCAGTTCTGTGCTGCCTGTGGTCCAGTGTCTGAAAACAGTTGTTTTATATATTTTGCTTAATTTTCCAGTTGTTTACATCAGAGAGCAAATCTTGTCACGTTTATTCCCACCTGACTGGAAAGCCAAAATTTCCGTATATTCTTCTGGGAAGTCTGCCTTTTGCACCTGCAATGAACTAGACAGTGCTCCTTTCTCCATATGGTGTAAAATATGTGATTATTACAATTCATCACGTTTCTGAATGACACACTGGTCTTTATCTTATTTAAGTTATCCTGGAAACTAAAATGTCCATAGCCACTTAAAAGAGAAGGTGGCATTAGGTAGAAGCTAGACCTGAGCAGTGGAAGGAATGCCCTGACGTAGAGTCCCAAGTCCTTGAAGGGGGATGATAGAGACCTTAGCTGTAGTCAAGGATGGTGAATAAAAAGCTACACATTGAAAGCCCAGGAGTACAACATCCTGACTTTGTGGCTTCTAAGACCTTGGGGCTGACAGACCAAAAAGCTACGGGAGCAGACAGGGCTCTCCTCTTCCACCTCTGCCCTGAGGTAACCCCTACACTCATTGAAATACATTTGCATCATGGGTACAAGCCTCCCATCCCCACAACTCCATGGAAGAAAGGTTGCTGGGATAGTTCCAGTACACACCTTGTAGGGTCAAAAAGTCCTCCTCCCAACCTTTGGGAGGAGTTTCCAGAATGATTGGAAATAGTCTCCATTAGAGACCACCCCACTGTATGTCACAGCTCATCCCAGCCCAGAGAGACCCATAACAATCTCAACACAATTCCAAGGCCAGGTCCACCTGGAGGAACTTGCCCTGCTCTCCCACCTTGAGAGTGTAGTTTCACTTTAGTAAACTGCTTTATGCTTGCCACTTTCCTTCTGGATGTCTTTATTCAAGCCCAGATCCCCACTTAAATCTTCATGGGAAATCCAAGGACAGAGACCCCTATTCACACAACACAGATTCTCTCACCTGTAACAGTGATACTTGAAACAAAATTTTACAAAAGCTTTACCTCCAGTTTCCATTTAAACCTGCCTTTATGGGGTTCTAATGCATAGCACATATATTTGGTTTAGCTATTGGCTGTTTGATACATTTTCCCCATTTTCAGTAGCTTGCCAGATCAGTTTGTGCCCAGTGGTGACTGAAGCAGTTAGTGTAATACTACCTATTGTAATGCTACATAATTTATGTTTAATTTCAAAATTCAATGAATACCAGGTTTCCCCTGTTATTCAAAAGTAGAGCATTCCTATGACACATTGGCAAGAGTATCCCCCACTTTCTGCATTAGTACGGTAATAGCAGTTTTCATCGGATTTCTTTTGGTTAGTGAAAACAGGTACTAACATAGGTCTTTTGTGAGAACAAAGTGGTATGATGCCAACTTTTGGAAAGCAGTAGATACATGTAGATGCTACCAAAAAATAGACACTTTCATAAATGCACAAAATAAATCATGAATATCACTTCCAAAGAGAGTTCCAGGTTTAGAGAGTTTTCGTCGGACAAACAGTGGAAAGGAAGAGAACGCAGAAAGAGGGAGGAGAGAATAAGTAGCAAGGAATTCAGCAAAATATATATTTCCTGTATGTTTTGGGGCCCTGTCTCACAAAATAAGGCCCAGGGGGCATTCACAAATTTATATAGTCTTCTATGTTGGTGTATACCCAAAGGAATTAATCTTTCAGTCTCTTTGTATCTAACAATAAAAAGCTTTCCCTGGTTTTCTTCCTCTCTTCAATCTTTACAAGGCGATTTCAAAATAATATCTATTCTGTAAATATATGAGCATATAGATCAAACGTAAGTTGACAGATTTCTATGTAAAAATCACTGATTAATAGTAACCTGTGGCAGAGTGTGGAATGGCAAATGGGCAAAGAGGCAGGAAGGGGCTTGAAAGCCATTCAGCTTGGGGTCCATCAAGATCAACTCCATTAGTTACTAAATTACTTAATGATTTTATTGATGACTTGCTATAAGATTTACAGGTGTTTGAAATGAATCTTTTTAGCTTGCAAAATAAACATTAAAGGTGGGGGCAGAGGGAGATCTAGTGCTTGACCTATAAAAGGTAGGAGAACTCTGAAAGCAGAAACAGCAGAGAGACAAAGAACAGGCAGCGGCAAATTATAAATGAATCTGTAAAGCATCAGCCAGTTTAAAAAAAAAAAACAACCAAAAAGTTCTATTCTGTAATATCCCTGAAGATAGATCCGCCTCCAGTTGTTAGTGGAGCCTTTTGATTTTAGGGGTTTTTATTGTTTGTTTTTTGTAATGGTATTTGATGGATGTCAGCAAGAACTAAAATGTGTGTGTTGTGTTGTGTGTGTGTTTCAGTTCTCCAAATTTAAATTTAGAACATGAAGGCATTAAAGTTTTTTTTTTACAAAGCAAAAGTTTATTTAATTAGACCAAAAATGGAACAACTATTTATGTGCCCTTGACCTCCCCATCCTTGTCCAGATGAGAGCGCTTTGTCTTCCTTCGTCCTTTCCTGTTGAACTTGAGCAAGGCCATAAGGCTTCTTGCCTGCTGAAGCTCACACTGGCCCTCCTTACCGTGAACTCCCAATATTCATACAGTCGAATATAAAATTTGTTTTAAAGCAACTGGTCTTTATGATCCTTAAATAGATCATGTGTTATCACACTCATTGGAGGAATTGACTAACAAGATCCCCCAGGGCCAGCTCTCCTTTTTTTGTTGCTTCCCTTGCTGGGCACAGAGGGGCAGTGATTTATCTGGTGGTTTAGGTTCCAAAGGTCTCATAATAAATGTGGAGAGAAGAGTCTCTAGTTTTAATAAATATTTCTACCAGTTATTTATTTAATATTAACATCTCCTGTGATAGTACTTAATTCTTCAACATAGGCTTATAGTAGGCAATAAGGACTCTGAAAATACTTAACTATAAATTCAAATATCTTTAGGGACCAGGCACGTCATAAGGCAAGCATTTGGGCCTATGACAAAAGGGATGTGAGGCTTGTGGAAAACCCAGAAAGCCTAACTTTTACATCAACTCTATGAAGTAAAAATAGCTTCTTAACTCCATTTTACAGATGGGAAACTGAGACAGAGAGAGATTAAGTGATTTATCCAAGGTCATAAAAGGGAGTTAGGATTAGAGCTAAATTCCATCCAGGCTGTCTGGCACCAAAACCTATGCTCTTGGTGGTCAGAAATGGAGTTGGGTGCTACATATAGCAGGAGGTCTATAAGGACTGCATGTTGCAGAAAGAGATAATAACCAAAATTGGTTCAACAATCTGGACCACATTCAAGGGAAAAAAAAAAAAAAGACTTTAATGCCAAAGCTCTTTCCTTTTTTCCCTCAGGAAACTCTCACATCCTTCTTGTTAGAGGAGGAGCCCATCCCCGAGTAAAGCCAAGTGAGGGCCAGCAGGAGCAAGTGCCCAGTGGGATCTCAAGCAGGAGTGGAGTCTTATAGGATGAGGGGTCCTGGAATGTGGTGGGGATGCTCAAAAACGAGCCAGAGGGATGCATGGAGAGAGAGAGAGATAGACCATCTATCAAGTATCTCCAGAATCCATCAGAGAACGAAGAAGCATTTCAATAGGCAATGCCCATATGAAAATATTGGGATTAAGTTGAGGCACACACAAGGAAAATAATCCATTTAAAGATGGTTCTAAGACAGGAAAAAAACTAACAAGACATTTTGACTTCCTGAAATAAGAAATTAATTTTTTTTTTCTAAAGATTTTATTTATTTATTTGACAGAGAGAGACAGTGAGAGAGAGAACACAAGCAGGGTGGGTGGGAGAAGCAGGCTTCCTGCCAAGCAGGGAATCTGATGTGGGGCTCGATCCAAAGACCCTGGGATCATGACCTGAGCCGAAGACAGACGCTTAATGACTGAGCCACCCAGGCGTCCCCCAGAAATTAAATTTCTTAAATACCTATTAAGAATGAACCATATTGGGCGCCTGGGTGGCTCAGTTGGTTAAGCGACTCCCTTCGGCTCAGGTCATGATCCTGGAGTCCCGGGATCGAGTCCCACATCGGGCTCCCTGCTCAGCGGGGAGTCTGCTTCTCCTTCTGACCCTCCCCTCTCTCATGCTCTCTGTCTCATTCTCTCTCTCAAATAAATAAATAAAATCTTTTAAAAAATAAATAAAAATAAAAATAAATTAAAAAAATAATAAATAAATAATAAATAAATAATTAAAAAAAGAATGAACCATATTAATTAACTTCTTCATTAAGAATACTGGAGTACACTACCCGGGTAGTTCATTCACTGCCATCATTACTAAAAGCCAGTCAGTAAGAAAGGCTATGAGCTTTTCCCACCATCCCATTCCTCCTCAGTTTTCATGCTCCCTTCCTGCCACTCCATATCCTCTTACCTCCGCACACACCATAGCCTTTACCATATCGCTGAAATTTAAAAGAGCAGAAGCAGGTGCCTGAATATAGACCTTGCTTGACTTCTCTCTGGCTATACAGACTCTAATGAAAAAAATATGGTGACACAAGGACTCTATGCATGAGTGTTGGATCAGTACTAGTCGGTCAGTACCTGCTTCAATGACCTTTATAATCCCAATGCCCAAGGTGGATGGGAAACTTAATTAGGGCATTTCAATCATTGTAAGCACCTCTGATGAACAGGTAGTATATTGCAGTAATTCTGAAAATGTTTTCCACTTCTGCAGATTTCCCAGGGGATGCTCTGTAAGCTAGACACACAAAATCTTTCTGCATTTTGCTCTTTTATCCACACTCTCTGATGGAGCTGATTGCAGACTCAATCAGCTTGTTATACCTGTTGGCCAACTGGAAGAAGGGGAAGAAAGAAAAACCACTTCTAGTTATTTGCCAGGCTCAATGCTAAGTCATGTGGTTCCTGAGTTGTAGCTAAGGGGGTGTGTATGCGTGTACGTTACTGTTAACTTGGATCTATGTAACTGCACCTTGAGACAGGCAACGATTGAATGGGAAGTGGCTTTCACAGCTGAGTATCTTTTTAATTTTTCTTAACAAAACATGCACTGGTGTTAGTAGGACTCTGTTGGTAATCATGGCTGGCTACATGATGTGGTACCTTGGCTGGTAATTCCCCTCAGTGGTTTCCAAGTGTTTGTGTATCCTAAGAACACATAAGCATCAGGATAAAAGGTTGGTCTCCCATTGGTGCAATCCAATGCTCTGATGTCTGGGTGCTTTGATGAAACGATGAGACATTCCAAAACTGTCAGAGCATCTGGGCTAGCTGCTTTAGGCCTCTGAAATGATTCTCTCTTCTAAGAGGCAATGGGCCAGGATTGAAAAAGAAGCCAAGTCACTTGGAAATGAACATACCTGTTTGGTGGAAAAGGGATTTTCCAGGCTTATTTCCCTGTAATTCTCCAGTATCTGTCCATGGCTGGAATTGATCATGTCCCCATATCTTCCCTTTAGCCTCATGTCAAAGCAACATGTCCTTTTCCTTGGAAAAC